GTAATGAGTACTTAGTAAAGAAGTAAAAGTATAATTTTTAGCTTAAAATAAAAAAGTAAAAGTAGCTAATTAAAAAAATAATTGGTGAAATTACAAATCCTCAAAAAAAAAACTACTTAAGTACTACAACAAAGTAAATAAACTTGATTTGACTCAATTTTTTCTTATTTCAAGAATCTTATCAAGTAAAATTTTCTTACTCCACTGGCAGATATTTTGATTTAATTTGAGTCAAATTTTCAGAATAGAAATAAAAGAAATATTAAGCTGAAATTTTATGTTGTGGTAGCTGAGAGTGATGCCTAACAGATTCTAAAATCAAACTAAATAATCCAAGATGTCCACCAAAGCTAAATTCAAATGGCTACAATCCAGCTATTTTTTATACATATCCAGCTGAAATTTGGTGTGGTGGAATTGTTGCTTTTATATTATTTCTGTGGTTTAGAAAACATATTGTATTCTCCACATTAAAAGGTTCCCTCTACAATAAACAACACAGCTTAACAGATATTTAGTTTGTTTTTTGCTGTAACTGACCATCTTTTATTGCTAAATGCGATCCCTACCCCAACTTGTACATTTAGGGGTGGRACCTGGGGTGGCCAAWCAGTTTCCAGGGGTGGTATTTGCCACCCTGGCCACCCCTCTGGCTCCACCCCTGGCTGAGAGCAATGAGGGTGGGTGCAGTTCCAWGTTCAAACACTAGAGGTGRTAACGAGTCAAATGWGTCCAGCAAGAATCAAACTTGCAGAATTCTTCTCTTAAGAAAATCTGAACAATTCTGCAGAAAAAACTTTTTTACACAAACTGATACTTCACAAGTATTCTGGCCCCTTGATCAGGTGTTTAGTCTTACCTGTGGTGCACGATGTAGGTGATGATGGAGGCGAAGAGGCAAAGCAACATGACAGCCGTGCAGGCGTACACAACCGGGTGCAGAAACTCCCCGGGGTAGGGGGGGAAAGACAGCACCTTCTTCAGATCCTGAGGCAGAGAGACAAGAGGTGGTCAGACGGACCCCGTCAGAAACAGTTTTACATCTTTTCCCTTTTAAAGCCCAGAGAGGAAATATTCAGGAGCTGTGTCAAAAGTTACAACAATGGGCCTCATATCCTAAACSTTTGCTCATATGAAGGGTTCGTGTCAACGTCACATCAGATTCAATAAACTCTTCTATCTTCAGGAAAAGTGTGTAAATGAGCTGCGTAAACTGATGAATGTMTATCAGGTGCAKGAGGAGAGGAMWTTAGCATAATTASCACCCTAAAAACACCATATAAGGCTACGTTTCCTGTCCCACAAACCAGGAAGTGTCCATTCATAAATGACATCACAAAGTAAAAAGAAGAACTTTATGAATTCAGAAATTGAAGTRCTGCTCTCAGAGATCCAGAAAAGAAAATCTGTCATTTTTAGCAGGTCAGCTGTGGAATTAAAGGAGCTGCTTAAAGGAATGAAACGTGCTGTTAATGTCGTGTCTCCTGTGGGTCGTTACAGTCACAGAAATAAATCTGAATCCTGCCGACAACGCCAATTTCTGTCGTCGCATAATTTACCAAGAATGCAGAAGCACGTTGGAATAATGCACAGAAAGTCTGCGTGTATGGTGGTCAATAATAATTTAATTCTGAGCGACAAACAGACAGAACTCAATCAGGAGACTCTGTCGGCTTGTGGCTGACACATCAGCGGACACAGCCAGTAATACAACATTATGTTAACACCATGTGACAGTTTACAACCAATCACAGATCGACAAATGTACTGTCCAGCCTATCACAGGGCTCTCAGCTCAAAGAGTTTCTTATCAAACAAGAGAG